TCCTTCTCTTTCAACTTGAAAGAGGAAGATAAAAGGGATACATTGTATTGTTATTAGTTTGAGAATGCAAGCAGTCCCTTGTTTGAGTGTAACAGTGCAATGATACTGGTACTCTATTCTATAGAATATATGGTAAAGATCCTTACCAAGGAGTGATGTCATTTACAGCCGTGTTTTCATCCAGTCATACAAATTATGAGAAACCTTTTAAAATGTAAAAAATAAAACTTGCTAATTTTTCCATCCACTGGAAGAAATTAACCAGTTGCTGTGAAGCATAATGTCGACATATGTTTAGGTAAACTTGGCTGTAATAAACAGGAAGTAGAGTTAACTAGCTAGCACAAACTGCTGTTCAGTAACGGATCAAAATCTGTTGCCATTGGCTGAGTTGTACTTACTTTGTCATGTCGGCTAGTATTAGTGATGGCTCAGGTCATCCAGAGATGTCAAGAGAAAGAAATATCTTTCTAGTGCTGCTTTAAGTAAGCCGGTGAGGGAAACAGCTGATCAGTCATGAGCAGTGTTCGGCAAGTTACTTCAAAAAAGTAATTATTTATCGTTGCTGGTTACTTCTCCAAAAAAGTAACTGAGTTATACCCCTTTCCTACTGGCCAAAAAAAACATTTTAAGCCTGGAACAGATGACTTTTAGTGGCAGTGGGAACAGCTCAATGACACATGTCTACATGTGTCAAACGACACGGCAAGAAATCCGCATTAAAAACACCTCCGATTGGCATGCTGTGGGAACACCAGATCCAGGTCAATGACGACACGCAGCGCCAGTCACTTCTGATCTAACAATGAGAATCAACCTTGTTTAGATTTGATAAACATGTAGCAGCACTGGTGCAAGGGGTTTGGAAGGACAAAAGAGCAAAACAATAAAGCACACTCACTATTCCCTGGCTTCCTTAAGGGCTGGTTATCCTCCCACAGTGGTCTATCACAGTGAGCTTGTCGCAGGTATGTCGCAGACATTTTTGATTTATGCTCAATATTGAAGCCAGGTATGAGCTATGTTTATTCCACACCACAACACAAAAGAGGAAAATCAGGAACTAGCTGTGGGTCTAGTTACGGCAGAGGCAGTGAGGAAGTAGGAGCAAGTTTGTACGACAGAGGAGGGACATGAGGGCCGAAAAAGAGCGGGGATCCAGGAGGAATAAGGGTCCCAGCGTTCTCGCACACCTTGCTCTTCTAGCTGGTCCAACTTCACGACTCGTTTTCCACGATGGCGGTTATACAAACTAAACAATCCGGTAAGGTACCAAATAGGAGATGCATAGTTTAGAGCAAATGTAGATTTGATCAATCAGAGGCCTCCTGTCTGCGGGACTGTCTGCGGACACCTACAATTTGGGAGAGGTGCAGCAGAGTGTCTGCGGAGGGGGCAGGGACGTCTCTGTGTTCACCGTGACACCTATGCAGAGGAAGTATAAATGCAAAAATTCCGAAGTATAAATCATCCTTTATACGGTGCTCTCCACCGTTTACTTTCCTGATTTCTGTCAAACTGGTGGCAGCATCAACCATCAAACACTCGTTAACGCGCCATTTTCAGTGGGAAGAAGGCTTTAATGACTCAGATACTGCTCAATTAAAATAACTCATTACCAACCAATGTTGCTACTTTTTAAGTTTTGAATTGTCAAAGAATTTGGAAAACTTTCTTGTTATTGGAATTTTACATACTACTAGAGGGTCAATATGGAATGTAAGGTGTTAATAATTAATCAGTAAAGTAATTAAGTAAACTGTTTACACATCTGATACAGTGAACCCTAGCTATAACGCGGTTCCATTTTCACGGTCTCGCTGCTTCACGGATTTGCATCATGCATTGTTAAACTTTATTGTCGAACATAATCAATGGTGGCATGTCGGTTTATAAGGATCTTTTGGCCCAGAAGAAAAAAGAGCGACAGCAACTACCGATAACTATGTTCTTCTCTCCAAAAAACACACCTGCACCGCAGGCTTTAGAAGAAAAAAAACACCACAGAGCAGAGTCAGGATACAGCGGCTCCGTCAGAACAGCAGTGAAATACTGTACTGTACACGTCAGTCACTATTTGTCCTACTGTACTTTGTATTTTTTTTCATTATCATTTTTCATTTTCTCCCATTCCAATCCATCACGGCGGGGCAGTGCTGATCCCCGCAATATTAACCCTTCATTTCGTATTGATGATTAAAATTATTATTTATTTATAACTATATTATTTTACAGTACAGTACAGTAGTTATTTGTAAAAGGTTAAACAAATGCTTGGACCTGTAATAAGTTTTAGTTCCTTGATTTCAATGTTGTATGGAGTATTTCAATGTCTAATAACTTTAAAAAAATAAAGGTTTCTACTTCACGGATTTCACCTATCGCGGGTTCTTTAAGGAAAGTAAACCCCACGATAAACGAGGGTTCACTGTACATCTAAAACTAATCTGCACTATTTTGGTGTGTGTGGTTTGAAAAGTGAGTTGCAGCATGATTATGCAGATGTGGTGATGTTTTTGTTTATAATAAAATTTACATTTTTTGGCATTTATTTTTTGCACATTGACAGCCTTCAATTAGCTATAAAATTGGTATAAAGCTGAAAAATAATGTTTTTCAAGCTATTTTACAAAAATAAAAACTATAATCCAGGAGAAAAATAAACTAGCAGGTGACTACGATCCCAGGATTTTTTATGTGAGAAAATGTAAACCATGCAAGGAAAAACATTATAGCCGTGATAAAGTGGCGAACATTTGTTGATTAAAGGGAGCAGCTGTCAGTCAGTGTTAAGATGATGCACGGAGCTGCTTTAACTTCTAGCTTCTAACAGACGTTTATAAAGCCAAAGATCCTGCACACAGTGATCAAATCACAGTCCAATTTAGCCTTCAATTAGCTCTTTTTCAGCAGGAACACTGTCATTGAATCAGTGGATCTCTGCCACCATCTCTCCTCTGTGATCATGCTGAAGTTGCACATAGCTGTTGCATTCACCACATGCTCTTACACCAGGAAAATCTAGTCCTTATTTAGACACAGTAAGTAACGAATAATGAATCTGTTATAGGCGCAGTAATGACTAACATGTTACTGACTTTTATAAAGTAATTAGTTACAGTGCTAGTTAATGGAAAATTAACATGTTTACTGTAACGTGGGACTTGGTAACGCCAAACACTGGTCATTAGAGGTAAATGTTGGCTACCTCACAACTTATTTGACAAATGGGTTTCCAGTGATCGGAGTAATGCGTTGAACGCGTTGAAAGTTACTAATGCCGTTACCTTTTTTAAGTAACGAGTAATCTACCTAATTGCTTTTTCAAAGTAACGTGCCCAACACTGTGGGTTTCTGCCTCCTCTTTAATGCCGCCTCTGTTGCAAATAATTTAAAAACGTCCGCCAAAACACCCTATTTTGCAAATTATTAAGTTGATTTGATTTTGGCTGCTTTCCATCAAGTTCTACTAATGCAATACTAAAATGCCATCAAAATAATTGATGGGGGAAGGGCATATTTTAGAAATTGTTTCCAAACTTTTCAAAGAAGTAGTGTCGCTTTTTTGTTTTGTTTTTATCTCTCTAGTGTTTTTTCGCCAACTTGATCTGGTTTTGTCTGCTTGTTTCTCACCTTGTTCCATAGAGCCTGTTCACCACTGCAGAATGCCATGTCCTTTGCCTTTAAATTTGATTAAATAAATCAAACAAGGTTTACTGTTGTTTAAAGTGCAAAGTATATTTAACTTGAAATCAACCCTTCTCACCAAATCTGATGTATAATTTCACGCTCAGCTAATTAGTTAATCAGAGAGGCTAAAGGTTTTTTCAAGGCAGGTTTAGATTAGTATCTTAGACTCATCTTCCATTTTATAACAGAAAAAAACCACAGGCTTAGATGTTTTTAGTGTCTGTAAGTTGGTAGAAGGAGGAGCTAACAGGGATCAGAGTCCCAGCCCTGCATGGGATACAGGACTGTTTGCATCTGCAGAGCTGTAAAACCTGTTATCCAGTGTATGTTTATCTTTGGTGGATCAATTAGCATGCTGTTTGTATCTGGGTACTTCATTTGAAAAATTAGTGCTGTTTTATTCCCTAGGAACAATAAGATGAGATTCTGTTTGTATTTTCTTTTTTTCTCAGCACCTGTTTTTATTGGACTGGTGACCCAATATCTTAAAATGTCTGTTAGTTTCTTTCTATTAACCCGATAAAATAAACCTTCAAAGCATTTAAATTATAAAAAGTGACCATTAAGTTGACCCAAATAATTGATCAAAGCAGAAAACAAAACCTTTTAGAGACTTTCAAAAGCCAGGAGTTCCTTTTAAGTATTACAGAGCTCTTTTGTAGTATTTTTTTCTTTTATCTGTCGGAGTTATCTGTTTTCATAATCAATTTGCTTGTGCTTTGGTTTTTGTGTTTGTTTCTGTTGCTCTCTCTCTCTCTCTCTCGTGCTCCAGAAATTTGGCAAATATTAGATTCGGGGTTTCAGATCCGCAGCAAAGAGACAGAACGATAATAAAAGCGACTCCTACTGTGAAATTCAATTCAGTGTGTGGCGAGTAGCATCAGAGAAACAGCATCCCAAGCTCCCAGCCTGAACCAAACTGTTGTTTTATGCTAAGTTATTTTAAGTTGAATGATTCCTGCCATATTTACAACTTGCAATGAGACTGTTTCACATCTATCAACTCATACGCTCAGTTTGCTCTGTGTGTGTTGTTTTCATAGGGAGAGGAGAAAAAAAGGAAGAATGTGAAATATTAAAACAAATGTTTTAGCAAGGAGAGGAAGATTGCTTTTTGACAGATGCTCTCATTTGCATGATGGCCTCCAGCAAATCTCTTTTAGACCGAGAGCTGCCAGTGCTGCTCTGTGAATGAGTGTTAATGGGCTTCTCCTGCAGCATATAGAGCCCTTTTATTTCCAGTGACTATTTCACTGCAACTGTCATGCAAATTTACTCCCATTTCCCTTTTTTTTTTCTTTTTTAAAAAGCCCTTACAGGTCAAATCCAAGACGTCTCCCTGGGCCAGGAGGAGCCGGCGCCTCGGGTTGAAGTAACACCTGAGCTGGACCTGGAAGTGGTTCCTGAATCCGCCGGAGACTGGCACAATTGTTCTCCTGACTACTCCCCGCCAGGACTGCCTAGTGTCATGAACTCATGAAGTTTCACAGCTGAGCAGCCAAACTTTGCTGAACTAAGAGTTTGGAAGAAAAAAAAAAGAAAAGCTTCCTGACTTTTTAAATTAGTTCCACTTAGAAGGAAGGCTTCATCCGCCTGCCTGCTGTTTTATCACAATTAGCATTGAAGTAAAGGGAGCGTGCCTCTCCGCTTCTCTGGAAGGGTTTAATGACTTTTATCCGTTTGACTAGTCTGTGATTGTCATCGGCCTCCAGAGAGGTGGGGCTCCATCGGCTCAGGCTTCCCAGGGAGATAACCCCTCAGCTGATGGAAGTCCCTCTGATGCTGACCCTCGACAAGAACAGCCCCGCGGAGAAGCAGAGTCTGGTCCCTCCATTCCCGATCAAACAGACTGAGAGGAGAGGAGAGGACGAGGCCAGCTGCCTTAGCTTCAGGAGCAGCAGACATGACCAGTTACTGCTGGTTCCAATATATCTGTCACTTTTGTTTGACATGTTTATAGTGTAAATATTCCGCCTGGATGTGAGATAACATTTCCAGATTAACTGTAAAAATTGGACTTAAAGAATCTGTGAAGGCACTGATTTGGATTCAGTTACTGAATGAAGATGTTGTTATTTGCTTTTGTATCGTTTGGACTGAAATAAGTTTATTCACTGTAGTTAATTGTGTAAATATTGTTGTCAGAAGGCATATATTTTCAAAAAAAAAAACACACACTGGGAAACAGATTATTTGGATAAATGTCATTTTGGTAAAAGTAAAGCTAAGATGATACACTTTTGGGGGGTCGTTTTCCAGTTTCATTTCAGTTTCTTTATAAAGTGCCATTTCACAACACGTCATCTCAAGGCACTTTACAGAGACAATACTTTTGCAGTTCTGTTTTCTATGGGTGATTTTAAACTTCAAATTAAAGGACATTTTTTATGAATGCAGTGTTTCTTGTTGCTCAAAGGAAAACAGCAAACTAACTTGAATACAAACAATATTGACTTTTGAGTTTAAATTAAAAAGTTAAAGGTTTTCCCAATTCATTTGAGATCACAAAGGAATTAGGGGGTTTAAGCCAGTAGAGCCGGTGTTCTGTTGGACCAGCATACCCATAGTCAACATGTTAGATTTGCGTTTATCCATTTAATTTTGTACGAACTTTAGACTTTAAACTGCCTCAACAAGCGTGTATCCCTTTAGTCATGTACAAAAAAACTATTTAAGGTCAGATCGCCATACGCTTCAAAATAACACCAAAAAAAAGTAATAAGTCGTTTTTTTGTACATGACTGAAGGTATACATGCCTGTTGAGGAAGTTTCAAGTCTATTTTTCATACAAAACTAAAGAGATAAAGAGATAAACTTAACTGACCAAGTATGCACATCTGACAGAACACCGACAGGTAATCCCAGATAAAAATGCAGTTTTTATTTTTTAATCTGGTAGTAAATTTTTTTCTCAAGCTTATTAAGAAATGATGAAGCAAAGTTTTTCAGTAATCCTATTTAGGCATTCATTAAAGTCTGTTGATGCAGAGTTAGATGATGGCTGTCCATATAAACAGGCTGGGTGAGTAAAGAAAAAGAAACCTACTGATTGGAGCTGTAGAGCTCAACCCCTCAGGTGGAAGAAACTAAGAGGCCAGCGGTTTGCATTGTGTTACATATAAGGGATTCTTTTGGGGGATTAGCAAGAGGAAAACATTGTTGCAGAAAATCCTCAAGACAGGTCCTTTGCAGTTTTTACAGAAGACCTTTAGAGCAAACAGCAAATTTTAGGAGGAGGTGCTTTGAACAAACAGGAAAACATGGTGTTTTGGCCTGCATCCAAAACCCACGCTGCAGAGCCCCACAATGCCATCAAGGTGTTAGAGTTGATGGGAAGATGGATGCAGCCCAATGCAGGATAATCCTGGAGGAAAACTTTGTCAGAGGCAACAGAAGGAAAAAAAAAAAACACCTGAGGCTGTGCTGGAGAAATTATTTGTGAGAAATGTGGTGCTAAGCATCGACTTGGGCTGAATACAGATGCGCTTTATATATCTCTAGTTTTTATTTTTCAAACATTTGAAAACTATCCAGCTTTTTCATCTTCAACTTTACAGTTATGAACTGTTGGTAGAGCAAACTATCCAAAGGGTTTCACTTCTTAATTAGCTCCATCTAGAAAAACATGCAGAAAGGAATTACATTTTTATGTTTTCTTTTCGTCTTTTTTCTTAAAAAAAAAAAAAAAACTGTCATATCCTTTGCATTGCATTCATTCACCTTGTAATTTCGGTCACAAACAGTCATCTCAGCATAATAAATAGCCTTAAGAGCAGCTCTCCTTTACCATTGTAAGCTGTCCTCTACAATTCATGCTCTAGAATCTATTAAACATTTATATTCAGATGTGCTGCTCCGTTGCTGTGTGCCAGATTTTCTTTCTAATAGCCTTTTACTTTCAATACTTTTAGTCTGATTGACCTTCCAAAGGTTTGTCTGGATAAATAAGGTTTTAACCCATATATAATCCCTCTGACTAGTGATTCTGACATGCCTTATGAAGCAGGTCATTTCTGGACACTAGGCTTCTGAGTGGTAAAGTCAGTCTGTCCTCAAGTATTCTGCTTTGTCTCAGCATGGCATTCACTGAGCAAGTAGCACTAATGGCTTATCTACTAAAAAAACAGCACTTTCAGGTTAAGCTGGTGTGAGCAATTTGCTTCTGCTTCATTTCACAGTTGTCCTTCCTTCTAAAATGGCCACTCACCCATAGGACCCCCCAGCCTTCATATAGAAATCATTGAGATAAGGATGCTTGATAATTACGCCCTGTAAAACTCCTTGAAAATGGTCACTGGGCTACTATATTCTCACGAACGGTCAGGGAGCTTTAAATCTTTTATCCTTACGACATAGATTACATTATCAGGATGTGGAGAGATGCAGAGCCGTGGAGACAGAAAGCAGCCTGCAGGGACTGTTATAGGGAATAAAAATGGGCCTTTTACCCGAAGAGCCAAAAAAACGATCCAATCGGCTTCTCTTTTCCTATTTTTTTTTTTTTTGCTGTGTTCTCTCAGGAACGAAGTGAACTGCAAATTGTAATGAAAATCTTCAATTAGCCATTAGTCTAGCCGCTCTCAGTAGATTGCTTCATCTGATAGTTAGTTTGAGCTATTATTAGGAGTGTCTATGAATAGGAGTGTTTCAAATGTGTTGAG